GTATACTGGACGATCTGCAGCGCAAGGTGTTTCTGAGGTACGTGCTTCAAAGAGATACAGTATAAAGCTCATGTACGCCATAGTTTGATACCACTGAAAAGGAGCTCGTTGTTGGGGCACGTGCCCAGAACCACACAGATTCCAGCCCCGGAAAGCGACTCGTAGCGGTGCGGCCCTCCCTTCGATTATCAGGGAATTAAGCAGAGGGGGCATGGGGCTTTTGGATTTCTTTCATTGCACATGCACGATTGAAGGAATAGCAGACCTGTGTGTGTGTGTGTGTGTGTGTGTGGGTGGGTGTCGGTGTCGGTATCGGTGTCGTTGCCAGTGGTGGTGTCGATGTCTGTTGTGTGTTGTCTGTTTGTTTGTGTGTCTGTGTGTCTCTCTGCCTCCGTGTCTCTGTGTCTGTGTCTGTTGTCTGTTGTCTGTGTTTGTTGTCTGCTTGTGTGTGTGTGTCTGTATCTAGGTCTGTGATAGTGTCTATGTCTGCGTCTCTGTCTCTGTCTCTGTGTCTGTGTGTGTGTGTGTCTCTGTGTCTGTGTTTGTCTGTGTCTGTGTCGGTGTTTGCGTCCGCGTGGTCTTTTTGTAGGGAACATTTGTTTGGGCTTGGTGAAGAGGGAAGCCAAAGGGAAGCGTTTGGGAAGCGTTCCGCTGCTTTTTGTTTTGGGCGGGGGGGGGGGGGTGCGGGTCGAAATTCTATCTTCAAACTTGAGCTTGTGGGGGCCGGATGCGCAAATCCAGGCGAAAGGATGTCAGCCGATCCAGGGCCCAGCTCATGCGATGTCGATGTCACGTCTGTGCCCAAAAAGACTGATTTCAGTACACTTATCTCAGCTTGCCTGCCTGATTTCGCGCCTTTCTTGTTGAAGATGCGAGTAGGGGGATGAAGACACAGGGGAGGGATTGCCATCTACTCATTTGCGGCTGTTGGAGATTCCCTTTCTGGCTGAAGGTATGGCGGGGACAGCAACGCGGTGCAGGCGCAACTCCGAGGCGTGGAGTTGGAACTCCCGGAGCTGGATGGGTCTCTCAGAGTCGCAACTCCTCGTTTGGGGCGAAACATTTTTTGGAGCCGAATTGGTGGATTGGGGCGATTTTTTGGGGGGCGTTTGGGGCGATTTTGGGAGCCATGCGGATGAGCCACGCTGCGGATTCCCGCAAAGTCAGCTTCCTTCCAATTGGATTGAAAAGCCGAATCGGTGGGATTTATTTTTTAGCCTCCTTCCAATTGGATTCCATCATCCCAATTGCTTCCCTGGTCGTTCTTTTAAAGTCAGCTTCCTTCCAATTGGATTGGAGCCGAATCGGTGGTTTGGAGGTTAGGAAGCGGGAAACACCATCTACCCTCTACAAGCACCGGAGTTTCCAATCCCCAAACCACCAATTGAAACCACCAATTTAGAGGAACCTGATTCATTAGAATGAACCCGGAGAGGTGGGGACCCTCAAAAAAGGCGGGCTCTCCAGAAGTTTTGGCAAAATCGGTTAGAACGACAACGCGAACCAGTTGCCGAGCCTGGCAGTGTCCCGAAGATTGCCCTGAAATAGAACCTCCAAGTGAAGCATTCACATGGCAGTTCATGAATGGCATCAAGGCTGCTGAAAATGAGGTGTGCATCATCGGTACTGTTTGATGCATACTTGCTACTGAAGGCATGCGCCGCACCAGCCCCAGCCATGGAGACCGCAGCTCAAAGAGCAAGGACCACCTGATACCGCTGGCACTGCAAGCAGCGGGAATGTTGTCAGCAGGTTGCTTGCAGATGTGGGCGGGCCTTTGTGGGCTGTTGCTGTAGCCGAGTAGCCTTGCGGGTGGGGGACGAAAGTGAAACCGCCCATTTTCTGGTCCCCCATTTTGAGACACACCCATATGGCTGTGGGTCAAAACCAATGTTACCATTTTGGGGCTGGTGCACCACAGAGCCCTCAGAAAGGGTTGGCGGACGTATTAGTTCCCCACGAGGAAATGAGAGAACTGGGCCCACTCCCGCTGGTTTTTGTGTTATACTTGGGCTTCCTCCTTCCCTCCTTGTCCCTCCATGTCCTACATATTTGCGCATGAATGATGTCCAAGAAAGGTTCTCCAAATATTTGTTTTGCAAATCCGTTGAGTTTCTCAGCTCACACGAAAACCTGCCATCTGGAAACTTGGAGTGACAAGGCGCCCATGGACTGTGTCTAGTTTGGATTGGCTTGGATTAATCGTAGGATCTTCAAAGAGCGCCAAGTAACTTCCATTTGCTTAAGGACACTTTACATTTCCCCTGCTGGTTTCCAAGGCAAGCTGTCACTACTGGAAGATGTCGCCATCCCTGAGTTGCAATTTGTCTGTTTAGCTTCAGACGAAGCCAGGTGTGTGTGGCATGTTTTTTTCACCTCAAAGTCACCCTAAGTGGAGCCAGCTGCTTGGTTTTTGACAAGGAAACCGGCCGCGCGGGCTCCGACTCAACACACCGACTGCTAGGCAGAGTCCCGCAAGTGATGGCCTTGGCCGAGGGACTTGTAAGGAGTGATAGTCGGAAAGTTGTTGGTACGAAGTATCTGAGTGAGCAAGAAAGCAAGGAAGCAAGCAAGCAACCAACCAACAGCCAGCCAACCGACCATGCCGACCGACCAGCCAGGCGACCGACCAGGCAGCCAACCGACCAGCCAGCAAACGACCAGCCCGCCAACCGACCGACCAGCCAATCGACCGACCAGCCGACCCTTCAGCCGACCCTTCAGCCGACCGACCAGCCAGCCAACCGACCCGCCAGCCGACCGACCAGCCAGCCAACCGACCAGCCAGCCGACCGACCAGCCAGCCAACCGCCCAGTTAGCCAACCGGCCACCCAGCCAACCGACCAGCCAGCCGACCGACCGACCGACCAGCCAGCCAACCGACCATGCCGACCGACCAGCCAGGCGACCGACCAGGCAGCCAACCGACCAGCCAGCAAGCGACCAGCCAGCCAACCGACCGACCAGCCAACCGACCGACCAGCCAGCCGACCATGCCGACCGACCAGCCAGGCGACCGACCAGGCAGCCAACCGACCAGCCAGCAAACGACCAGCCAGCCAACCGACCGACCAGCCAACCGACCGACCAGCCAGCCGACCGACCAGCCAGCCAACCGAGCCGCCAGCCGACCGACCAGCCAACCGACCGACCAGCCAGCCGACAGACCAGCCAGCCGACCGGCCAGCCAACCGACCAGCCAGCCAGCGAACCGACCAGCCAGGTGACCGACCAGCCAGCCCAGCCGACCGACCAGCCAGCCAACCGACCAGCCAGCCAACCGCGACCAGCCAGCCGACCGACCAGCCAGCCAACCGACCAGCAAGCCAACCGAGCAGCCGACCGACCAGCCAGCCAACCGACCAACCGACCAGCCAACCGACCAACCGACCAGCCAGCCGACCGACCAGCCAACCCAACCGACCAGCCAGCCAACCGACCAGCCAGCCAACCAGCCGACCGACCAGCCGACCGACCAGCCAGCTCCCGACCAGCCAGGCAGCCAACCGACCAGCAAGCAAACGACCAGCTAGCCAGCTGACCGACCAGCCAACCGACCGGCCAACCGACCGACCAGCCAGCCGACAGACCAGCCAGCCGACCGGCCAGCCAACCGACCAGCCAGCCGGCCAACCAGCCAGCCCAGCCAGCCAAGCGACCAGTCAGCCAACCGACCAGCCAGCTTCAAGTCAGTATGTACCTTAACGAAGTACTGCGCCTTTTCGCTGCTCTTTGCAAGGCTTCCTCTCACTCTGGCGAGCGCCACACTCGCGGTGCTTCCATGCCAGGTGTGAAGAGCGTGCAGTGCACGGGCGCGGCGTGCGCGGCCGTGCGGAGCGACGGGCAGGTGGTGTGCTGGGGTTTCAAGGAGTCACAGGGAGGGCGGCGGGGAGGTTCGGCGGGCGGTAGGTTCGAGGAAGTTTGGTTGAAACAAAATGGCCTTGAAGGAAAGCCATGAAGGAGTAGGTCGGGGCCAGGGTTGGGCAAAATGTTCAGGAAAAAACAACGTGAGGCTGTTTGAACAGCTTGCCTCACCTCAGTTCAGGCTGGGCTTTAAGCCAATGACTACTTGGGTGTCGTTTTTTAGGAATCCGAGCCCGCGCAATGCTGGGTGTTCATAGTGGTTTCCCTTTCAACCCCCACAAAAGCAGGTACCCTCGAAAAGACGCACCCGCTGGTGGATCTTGCGGTATGTTCAAGCAACTGAAGAGGATTCATCTCGCTTTGGCCGCCGGACACTTCCCCAAGTCGTTCTGGAGCTTCCTTGGCTCGTGACCGTCGGCATGTTTCGCGTAGTCACTGGTTTGGCTGGTATCCAGCGAGAGCCGACTGTGGAAACAACAAAAGGACCCCCGCAGGAAAGTTCTTAGCACCATCAAATCAATGTGGGGTAATATTAACCTTTGTTTACCTAGATTCATCATCTAAGCTAGATCCACCCGCCTTTTTTGGTTCTGAGAGACTTAATGCGAGCGATTTGCTATAGGGATGGTACCGGGATCTTCACACCCAAGGCATGGTGGTTGTTGGGAAGCATTTTCCGTGTTTGTTTATTGTGGTTTAGTGGTTGAAATCCACCACCGAACTGCTGAAATCTGAGAGTTTTTGCTCCCCTTCCAACGTCAACCAAGAAGGGGCACCCCAGAAATATCCTGCGGAATCTTCCTCCAGGACGCTGGCGGCGCCTCTCGGCAAATTGGACTTCGCTCGGGGCATGCCCGAGCCGAGCGCAGGTTGATTTTCGGGGTCAAGCTGCGGGTCGAGAATTAACGCATTCCAAAGGCTAGGTTCCCCAGTAGTGCCCTTTTATCCTTTTCATGGTTGTTGTTGGGAAGCATTTTTCATTTTTGCTTTTTGTTTTTTAGTGGGAAATCCCCACTTAACTGCTAATGTTTAATTTTTTGCTCCCCTTCCAACGTCAACCAAGTTTTTTTGGGGAGGGTTCCCCTACTAAAATAGACTACAGAAAAAAGGGTACCCTTCTTCTAAGTACTGGAGGACCTAGAAGGGGTTGTTTTGAAAAAATGGTTGATTGGGGGAGGGGTGACCATTCATGGTGAGCAAATGTCCCTTTCATGGGGAAGACTTGTTATGGGGGGACTCCCCACCCCTCCTCCCCCTTAGGGTAGGGAATCCAAACTGTATCCGCCAAATGGGGTTTGGGCTAGGTGGGTTTGACTGGCAGGGCTGGCAAGAGGAAGCCCGGAAGTGCACCGAAAGTGCACCAAGCTTGCATAGTCCTTTGGCCAAACTGGTGGTTTTCAATTTTTCCTTTTGCTCATGTGGCAAGATGTTGTTCAGTAGGAAAGCTGGTCAGTGGGACATCATGGTTCCCAGCAATCCCCTCCGGTTCGCAGCAATCCCCTGAGGGTTTTTTCCGGCATATCAGACTGTTTCCTCCTAGTTTTCACTGAACACAACAAAAGCCGGGGGGATCCCGCCATGGGATTTTGATGCCCACCCAAAATTGTCGCATGTTCCGTACCTTTCCCCCCCGCCCTCCTTCCCCCCCTCCCCCCTTCCCCCCTCCCCCCAACCCCCCTATGCGCGCGCCATCTCCTGAGGTTTTCGGCATTGTACTTGTAGGGTTTAGTCCCAGTTTTCATGTACCGGCTCCGAAAGCTCAATTCAGACTTGGAAGAAGCTTGGATATGCTTTTCAAGAGTACCCCTTTTTGGGTTGCTTCCAAGGAAAGACAAACGGAAAAAAAAGAAAAGAAACACACACACACACACACCACTAGAGCCGGGGGGATCCGATGCGCAACCCATGCCCCAGGACTGCACGGCGGTGCAGCGGCAGCTGGGCAACGTCACCTCCGTGGCAGGCTTTCGGCTTTCGGGGGAACCCTCGCGCAAAGAGGAAGACGGGCGCAAGAAGAAAACCCCGGAAGTCAAGAAGAAGTCTGGACAGAGCCAAGTGCAATCGAAACCCGGGGATTGATGAAGGTTAGTAAGGTCGAAAATGGTTGCGGATGTCCGCCTTTCTAATTCTTGACGTGGTTCTGGGTTCACCATTTTTGTACCAGGTTTTGATTGTGACTCAGGTGAGGTTTGCCAATGATTTCAAGCTTGCGGGTAGGTTGGGGTGAAAGGGGATGCCGCTGGCGTAATTGCTCTACCGGAACATGTGGTGCAAACAGCTTTATGGAATGATGAAGTACAGATGCCATTTTGCGGCTCCAGGGTGCTTCCATTTGCTTAAGAATCCTGGTTTGTTTTCCCTGTTAGTTTTAAAGGGAATCTATCACTACTGGAAATACTCTCTTATTTTTCCAGGGGTCTTAACCACATGGAAGGGTGGGCTTAGAGTCTTCTACAAGAGCCCACAGGAAGCGGCCGGAGGTCGTTGGAGCAGTCCTCTTATTGAGACGTGTCACGTCTCGCCGTTTTCTTCGGCTCTCGGGCCATCCAGATGGAATCTGGAGCCCCCAGCGTATTTGGACCCGGAGCCATGTGTGCTTTGGCGGATTTTGCCCACGGATGTTAGGGTTTTAACTTTTTGATCCAACTAATGGGTTTTCCGTATTAAACCACTAAAAGCTAAACTTTTAGCAGGGGAGCAGAAAGCAACCGAGTGTGTGTCTCAAAATGGGACTCGGAGCCTCAACACTGGTTGTCCAGTTGTTCCCCTGGCTGAGCAATACCTGGCCAGTAGGGCTCACCTGAGAAATCTGCGGGGAAATTCCGATCCGCATGCACACCCATCCCCCGCATGAAATGGTATGGCTGGCTGCCACTTCGGAGAGGTCCCAGCCCACTTTTTTCATTGTGATCTTCAAAGGCTTCAAGAGCTGCTTCGGGATTTGGGACCCACTTTGGTATCCATGCCATTGCCACTACAGACAGCTTTTCTCTTTTCCCAAACAGCACTCAGAGTTCACTGAGGTCTCAGCGCCAAAAGTCAGCCCTCGTCTCTTCAGCTTAAACTTGTTGTTTGCTTTCCACCCAGGAAAACCCTTGGTTCCTTAAATTGTCTTTCTTTTTGTTTTCTTTAAATTTGTCTTTCTTTTTGTTCCTTTTCACCAGAAGACTCCCCTTTGCCGTTTTCCTTCCGTTTCCACGGGCCGTTTTTTCTTCTTCTTTTCGCGCCGCAGTCCGTGGGCGCGCGAAGAATTTTCTCTCGGCGGGGGTTCGAGGCAGCTCCGGGGCGTTCGCTGCGCTGAAGTCCGACAACACCGTGGTGACATGGGGCGCCTTGGCCAACTTGGCTTCTCTTTGCTTAAGATTATTATTATTATTGTTACTATTATTTGTTTTTTCCCTCTTGGTTTTAAAAGGAATCTATCACCACTGACATTTTTTGTTTTCCAGGGGCTTAAGCAAACGGAAGCTTGGCTTCGGCTTCCGGTGTTGGGGTGGGGGGGGGGCCCAGGGGGGGAGTTCTGGGGTTTCCTTTTCGCAAAAACAAAAAACAAAAACAGCGCACATCGCGTGCGCACTTCGACTCACAGTGGGCAAACAAAGAACTTTAATTTGTATGTGTTAAAGCGTTCAGGCTACTGTGCGAATTCACACATGACTGGGGTTTCACCCTGATGCCAGTGTGAGTGGGGACCCCCGGGACCCAGGTTTTAAGAGCTCGGACTGGACTCTGCGGGTGCGGTTCCTGTTTATTTACGACTCGAAGCGGGGCCCAAACTGGCGCAACAAGATTGTTTAGCTCAAAGAAAGGCGCGTTCCTCGAACCAAACTCACAAAAAGTGAGGCGCCCATTTGCCGTTGTGAAAGTTTGACCCTTTTCGGGGTTGGTTTTCAGGGACACTGAAGGATGGCCCATCCCTCCTCACCGCTTCCCCGTTGCCCCCTCCCCACTTGGTACTCCCCGCCAATTTTAGACTTTTTCCCCACCATTTGCACCCCACACCCACACACACCCCAACCCACAGTGGGTGTAGTGTCGCGTCCGCGTGGGGCGCGTGGCGTGTGGCGTGGGTGGGGACGTGCGTGGATGGCTGGGTAGGTGTGGTTGGGGCGTGGGTGTGTGGGCATCCCCCACCAACCCCACCCCACCCCACCCCCCCACCACCCAACCCAAACCAACCCAAACCAACACAACCCAACCCCAACCCCTACCCAACCCCAAGCCCCCCCCCCAACCCCAACCCCACCCCTCCCAGCCCCACCCCGCCCCACCCCACCTTAACCCAACGACGCCCAACCAAGCCACCCACCCACCACCCAACCACGATATGCCACCGTGAGATGCCGAAATCAACACCACCCGAAAAAAAACAAACGGGGACCGCTGTTTCGAGAAATACGCAATGTGTTGGATCCTTGGTACGGACCCATTCCCATACAGGGATCTCTATTTTGTTCTTACACTTTGAGGTTCAACACATATGTTCCAGAATCATACAGTGGATGGAAGTCCTGCGCCCTTCAAAAAGCCCGGCATGGTGTGATTCCCCGACGTAAATACCAACAATATTCACCTTGGCGCATTTTGCCCACGGATGTTAGGACTTTAGCTTTTTGATCCAACTAATGGGTTTTCCACTAAACCACTAAGAGTCAAGCTGTTAGCAGGGGAGCAGAAAGCGACGGAGTTCAGGACTCTGTCCATCCACAGTAGGTTGGGTTGACACAAGCTGAAGAGAGAACAAAACCATCCGCGACCGAGGCGACCCGCTGTCCGGGGGTGACTGCAGCAGCGCCACTGGGGCGAATAGAAGTCACATCCTGCGTTCCTGGACTTTCGTCGCTTTTTGGGGAAGTTTCTCAGCTGTTCAGTGGCACCAATTATTTTTCCCTTTTTTTTCGTGATGGCTGCCCCACTAAAAATGGTCTTCCCCAAAGAAGTTCCCTTTTTTCTCCAGGGTCACTGAACAGCCGAGGTTTGGTTGCTGTTTTTGGCCAGTCCACTCAGGAAGTGAGGTCAAAAGGGAAGCAACAAGAACAACAACAACCCCTTTGAAGTGGGTGTTTTTTTCGCACTTGGGCTCAAATCCCAGACCCCCAGTGCCCTTTTCCTCTTTGGCAGGGGGGTTCCCTTGAAATCCAAGAAGCTGCCAGCAACAGGGGTGAGGCCTCAGATTCACGCGGCCCTGCAAGCAACATACCAACAGAACCACTCCTCAAACACAACAACTTACAAAAGGATTACCAGTAAGACCGCACCCAACAAGCGCACAAACCCAACAAGCACATCAATGTCTACACGTCCCTTTCCCGGCTTCTTTTAACCGCCGCGACCCTTCTTGGACCTCGGCCCGCGCATGCCACGCTTTTTCCGCTGGACCACCCGACCGCCTGGCGGAAGCCGCTCGCGGTTGCGAGGTGGTTGCGGGTCAAAACCTCAGGTGCCTTTTTGGGGATGGTTCCCACAGGGTTGTCCTTTGAAAAGGTCACCGCTTTCTGGGTGTGGGAAACTCACGCGATATCATCTTTCCTGTGCTTGAGCTTTTTCAGCTGCTGCATTCTCCGTTTGGGGGTCCCGACCCAAAGTCAATTAGGTGTAGCTGGGCCTTCTTGGCCTCTCGCAACCACCTCTCTCGGAACCGCCTCTCTCGGGGGCGCCTCGAGCTCTCGCCATGGGCGCGAGGTGAAGCACCAGCTGCAGGGCGTGGTGAAGATCGTGGGCTCCTACGGCGCCTTCGCGGCCATGCGCACCGACGGCTCGGTGGTGACCTGGGGCAACGAGCTCTTCGGAGGCGGGCGCGGGAGGGCGGGAGGGCGGGGGGGGGGGCTCCTTGGGGGACAGGGAGTGTCGGGAAGGGGGGGAGGGAGGGGGGGGGAAAAGGAAGCCGGGTTGTCTTTTGTGTTTCTTCTTGTGGGGGTTGGTGGATAAAGATAAAGGGAAGTTTTCTATTTGGAGACAAGCCTGCATTGCATTTGTTTGTTTTCTTGCTAAAAAAAAAAAAACACAACAACAAAAAATAAGGCCACCAACTTGGGACCCCGCTGCATTCCAAGCGGCACACATTCGAAATCGACGCCAGGGGACAGCAGCCAAGTAGAGGACCAGCTGAAGGACTTGAATCGCTTCACCGGCTGAGTCGCAGGCTCGTGAAGCCGACGCGGCGGTGCTCGTGGGCAGAGGGCTGGCAGAGGGCTGCGGCTTGCAAAGAATCCCAGAGGGTCCAAGTAGCTCCTGAGGATGGCTTTTGGGGGGTAAAAAGGGGTCTAAGTACCTTAGAAGGTACTTGGAATTTCTGGGAATGGTGTTCGGCCTTCTTGAGTCGGGGGATCCCTTTGCTGACTTGTCCGAGACCAAACTTTCAATTTGTTGAGCTGCTTTTTTTGGTCTTTTCGTTTAGCGTGGCTGGAGCTGAAAGAAAAGGCTCAACTTTCAAAATCCTGGGATCTGAATCATTAGGTTTGGCATGGTTACGCGGCCAGGAGTCACGAAGTTGTGCCAAGGCTGAGGCTTGATTCAAGAGCAGAAGGCTCAACGCAACCACAAACTTCATGCTGGTCTTCCAGATGGGTGTGTCTTTTTTCAGAGGACCCTTCCCCGCCCAAACAAAAAATAACTAAATCAATAACAGTAACACCGACAAATGGAACAAGTAAATGGCGGGTTTGCTTTTGGTTTCCCTTTGAAACCAGCCAAACACAGGGGCACCACCAACATATGACTCATGTGATTGATCTTTTCGATGTTCCTCCATGGCACCACATCAATAGGGTCAAAGAAATACGGCGAGTACCTGTTTCAAGCTTTAGCAGGCATCGGCCGCATCGGCCGCATCGGCCGCATGGCCGGAAGCGGGCCGAAGCGGGGCCGCGGAATCAGGGCAGGTTCCCGGGTCCGCAAAAGGCGGCGCTTGGTCCATTGGTGGATCGGGCCACAAGGGCATTTGGGTATGGGTCCAAATTAAACCACCAGGAATTGGACGGCAGGTTTTAGCCCATGTTTCCATTTACCAGGGTTCTATTTTGGCACGTATTTTTCACCCACAGCTGTTTGGCAATTTTCGACCGGACGAAAGGGCAGTTACCTTCTCTCCAAGATGTTGCTCTTGTCGCTGTGTAAAGGGAACGGCTTCGGCGAGAACCGCGTTGCTTCGGCCCTGCCCCAAGACCTGCGTGGGCCAAAACACTTGTGTTTTTGTGTTTGCTGGAATGCTAAACTACTCACTTCCTAAGTTCTTGGACTGCAAACTGTTTGGGAGAACCATTCTAGTGGTAAGCCGAGCATTTGTAGAACAAGTTGAACTTCTATTCTCACGACTTTTGGCTCAGTCAGAAAATGGACAGCGGCCAGAGAGGCAAGAGGCCGAGGGACTTTCCGACCACGGGTCGGGGTGTCGCCGTGCCCAATTTGGAGTGTATGTGAAGGGAAAGAAAGGGGCGGCCGCTGGGCTGGTGATGTTTCACGATCTGAGCCTTTGAGCTGTTTGTATGAGGCATCCTTCGTTATGTTTATATCATGCCTAATGTTAACCCCGGATAAATAAACCATGGTTGATTAATAGGGGGGTGTCCCCTTATAATCCTGGGTCAACATTACACAACTTGTACCCCTTAGCCGGACCTGTCAGAACATGGCCGCGCGCTCACACACACACACACACATTCATGCGCATGACCGGGTGCAGATGGAGAGCCACCTTGAGATACAGTAGTTGTCCTTTTTCATCCACGGTGTTCGAAAGACGCAGGATATTGGGTTCATCCATGAAGCCAAACACGTTCACTTCCCGAAAAGGAACGCACCCAGAACCACCGAGTGGTTCATGTCACTTCCCCCAAATTTGATTTTATATGTTTCAAACATTTGAAAACACATAGATAACAGCAGACAACATGGCAGATCTGTGCGACGTTTTAAGGACCCAGGGGACAGCATTGCTGGCCAAAAGTAGGCTAAAGACGCAGCGAAGAGTTAGCTGCTCAGGCCATCGCCCCCAACAGGCAACCGCAAACCTGTTCCAGTGAGCTGCGACTAGTTTTGTGTCTTTCAGATCGGGGGAACTCTTGCTTGGTTGAATTGAAGGGACACCACCACGAGAGACGTCTATTTCCGGGCATGCCCCTGCTGCACTTCGAGGCAAATTTTCGTATTTTCCGAAATTAAGCGGGGGCCGCCAACGACAGAATGATTCGCCTCAGGGTTGGCCTAGGGTTTACTGCGTTGGCCATAGGAAATAGATGGAGCCCCGCAAATCAGACTCACCTTTCACAATTTGCAGTCTTGACGCATTCCTGCTCGTACTGGAAATGTATCTCCAAGATAGGTACCACCTTTTGCAGGCCTCTTGCTGGGAGAACCAAATGGGCGTGTGATTGTTTGAGGGGTCACCTATCACAATCACCATTGACGATTTGCATATACCCTCATGATATGGGCATGTGTCAAATAGGCGTAGATTTGAACGTGCTCCCCCAAAAAGGGTAAACTCAAACACCACACGGGCCCACATGGGCGTTTTTTTTTGGGTACCCCCAAAATTGTGGCTTTCCTGTTGGTTTCCAACTCAAAAACCACAAGCAATGGGGTACTAACCCAAAAACAGGAATCATACCCAGATCTGTTTGTTTGTTTTGGTTTGGGGTGGTTGCCCAGGGGCGTTTCGGGGTCTCCCGTTTTTCTGCTTCTTTTTTTTCCCCGAGGCGCTCCCCGCTGCCGCGGAGATCCCCAAGGCCGGCGGCCGGGCTCCGGGGGTCCGGGGATCCGGGGCATTTGCCAAAGTGGGGGAATCTGGCCACCGTGGATCAGGGCTCCTTAAAAAGAAATTTATTTTGCCTTTCCATTTGAGACATGTGGCTTTTTGCACCTAAATAAAGGGACACCACCATTTGCAAGTTGCAATGTTCAGGTGTATAATGTAAGGATCCCCGTGGATGTGTGCACACACACGTTCTGTTTGTTTTTTGGGGAGGGGGGGGGGGGCGGTGCACACGAGGCCTGGACTGTTTTCAGCTTTTCTTTGCTTTTTGGTAGCTTCCTCTTAAAATCGGCGCCAAGCAAGAGGGACAACTAACCCCACCCGCATGGGTCGTCCTGAGGATGGCATTACGGAGGATCGGTTGGGACATAAATCTCTTCCCCCTATTAATGAATGACCCCAATTAATAAAAAATGGAAATCAGGGGCCCGGGACCAGATTTCCACTCCGCACAATTGATTTTCCATTGCGCCAATACTAAACCAATACTAAAGTCTTGGAATCCTTATTAGGGGGCACTTTTAACAAGCTTCCAGCCCCACTTTTAAAAAGGTGGGTTCCTCAACAGATGAATTCCCTAAAAAGGTTGCTTCCCCAAAAGCTGGCTTCCCCAAAAGGTTGGGTCCTTTTGGAGGGTTCCCCAAGAGGTTGTCCCTGACTCTCTCCCCAAAAGGTTGTCCCTGGTTGTCCCTGACTCCCTGACTCTCTGACCTCTTTTTTTTTCGCGCGGCTCCGTAGCTTCCTGCCTGGCTTCCTGCCTGGCTCTGTTCCCCCCTTAGCCAATCCTGCCTGGCCTCTCGCCTGGCTGTCATCATTTCTGTTCCCCCCAATGCGACTGTCTCTCTCCCGTACATGCTGGCTAATTAATTAACCTGCCTGGCTGCAAACAAACAACCAGTAAACTGCAAAACAAATAGAATGATACATAAAGTTTCCTTATTAAACCGCTTACTCGCGGACCTTACAATTCAATCCATTTCCTCCAAAAAACCAAATTCCAAAAAACCCAATTAAAAAAATATAGGGGACCCGTATTTATTAATAGGGGGAAGAGATTACTGAATTGGTACCTCTGTTTAATGTGTGGGGGTCCCCGCCCCCAACTGTCGGAACAGTCTGGGGTACTTGTTCAAGTTTTTGTTGTTCCTGGGAATGGTCATCAATCTCTGACTGTGGATTCTTGCCGTTCCGTCGTTGATTGTGTCTACTGCGGTGGTGATGCCCATATGCGCTTGATGGCGGTTGAGGTTGTTCCTCTGCGCAGGGCTAGAGGAAATGATACCGAAATCGGTTTATGCTCCGGCAGAGCAAACTTGAGAAACTCCAACACCGCCCAACCACAATCGATTCAAATCCAAAAGATCCAAGAGATCCCAAACAGAATCCAACAAATCTAACATCTCCGGGAAAAAAAGCAAAGATCGCAAGCACGTCCAGTCCCCAGGTGATTTGGAGCTTTTGGGATGGAGAACAGCCGGACCTTGTGCAGCGTTGCGCCTCGGAACCAATTCTGCACGTCCGCCCGGGGTTCCGATTGGGGGGGAGGGCGGGAGGGGGGGGTCCGATTCTGTTTTCTTTGTTGCATTTTGTCAGGGGATGTCAGGACTTTAACTTGTTGCCAACTAGTGGGTTTTCCATTAAACCACTAAAAGTTTAGCTGTTAGCAGGGGAGCAGAAAGCAACCGAGTTTTGGTGATTTTCCAGTTAGGTTTCCCTTAACCCACCACCAAACATGGGGTACCCTGAAAAAAAGGAGAAAAACACCCATGTGGCCAGGAAATTGAAGAAGGAACCACCTTCAAAGTGGTTGGTGGACACGAACCGACCATGTCCAAAGAATTCCCCAATCAAAACCAGGGCTCTCTTCTTCCCGTGGCCACTGTGTTGCCTCCTTGTCTCCACGCCACGTACCCTATGTGTCAAAATAAATGGGCCGGGACCTAAAATGGGGGTGTCTTTTCTTGAGGGTATTGAGGGGTTGTGTTCACTTGTTTTTGGGGTCTCAAAAAAAAGACAAACCCAAATGTATTCGAGGCTTGAAGCCTACCTGAAATCTTTTCAGAGGCTTCCGGGCTTGTGTTCGAAGACCTCGGCGCCGGAAAACGGGAAGGAGAAGGAAGCGATTGGTGCATGGTAAAAGGATTGGCAAAATGCGTGGTCTGTAAAAGAAACAGCGATTTGGGTGTGGGTCAAAATTAAACCACCAGGAGACTGCAGGTTTTTAGTCCTTACTTCCATCTTGGTTCCGTTTTGGGTACCTATTTTTGACACACCCATCTACTCCATTCCTCATTTCCAGCTGGAAAAGTTTGCAACCAGCGCCCCAAGCGACGGAGCGAGACGCGGGTGTTGAGAGCCACGAGTTTGGGTCGACGGAAGCAGG